TGGCATGATCGTTTTAGTTAGGACCCTTATTTACGTTGTGTTTGTGTAGTAACTTAGTTCTTTTAGGTGTATCTTGGTAGAATGAATATTCACGAGAGCAATCGAAAGCTGTTGGTAGCGTCTTATAAGCTAAAGAACCCCGTTCACGAAGAGAGAGCTCAAAAAAAAGTTAAGAACAATAAATTGTCCCTATTCCACTTGTATCATGTTCACAACAGTCAATTCCGTTTGGAAGGGGCTCACAATATTTATATCATAGATCAGATACAAGGGCTTCGCTCTCCCACATTTTAAAAAAAATGTGGAGGAGGCACACGGCTCCGCACACGCCGTGCGCGGTGAGCGCCAACCATTTTAATGAGATCCCCCGAAGGGTACGCTAAGTTGGGAACTGGACCGTAGTCCATAGCAAAATAACTGGCGAACCAGTAAAAGAGGACTTGGCCCCTTGATAGTGCATAAGCACAAACATCGACTGAAGTCGCGCATGTCAACGCATGTAAACGCCATACAGAATACGATCAAATCCAGCCACAGTGAACGGGTTAGGCAATAATAGGCACACTGGCCATAAAGAGCCCTCCATGAGCGCCACCACCTGCTAGACCACCGTTCCTGCAGACGTGATGTAAGTGTAAGGCACCACCACCAATTGCATGGTCAGCACGGCCAATTGGCCGCAGAGCATGTCATGAGTCTACCGCTCACCTCAAGGGAATGGGGTCCCACGTTGCGCGGCTTTCGGCCGCAGCATTGAGAGCCTCCTCAGATTCTCCTACCACCTACCACCCGCATGAGGTCGACACATATGCTCCACACACAAATCCTCTGGGTGACAGGCGTGAGTGTTTATGTTATGTTTATATGTATAGTAATAATTCGCCATCAGAAAGGGTTTGTGTCACTGACGTTGAGTATACGCATTTTTCGATCATGTTTGTCTCACCCACCAACAAGTTGCCTTCAATCTTTCAAATATGGGAACTTTATAGAGATATATTATTATGTTGTTATATAAAACATCATGGAGGACAGACAGTCTGCAGCCCCATAATGAATGGACCTGACTTGGGCAAAGCTACTTAGTTTGTGAGTCAAACCAAGACGCAGGGAGCGCCATTGAGAATAGCGACCCGCCAAACAACCATCGCAGAGACGCAATGCTGCAGAACGCAACAAGTATCAATACGACTATCGTTGGGCTTACACCATCCCAAGGTCCCACATACAGTCTCAGCAGATATCACCACCCGCATACCTCCATCGACCAGAACCACAAAATGTGTCGAATCAGGTGCAAAACACCCGCAGATCCATCACAAGACACAATACTGCAAGTAGCAGTAAGCATCAATGTAACTATCACATGGATGGCGCCCCCTCACAACACACCCACATGATCCCTATCGACTTTGGTAACAAAATTGATAATGTTGTTAACTAAAAATACCACCAACGTATCATAGTAGCACGGTACTAAGACGTCAGTAGCCAAAACTCCACGTATCATAGCGCTATTGCACTAAGACATGGAATTGAGTATGCTTGCTGCACTTAAAATTACTACCAAACACACTCACCCTAATCCGAAAGATAGCCGACGTATCATAACGCTATGCACTAAGACGCCGCCCACAAACGGTAGGGGTGTGCGATGTCCACGGGTAAGTCGTATTGCTACAACAAAGCCGCTTACCACCGACACTAAGATAATATGTCTAGGACACATCGGTTAGCGAGTCCAAGTTTACCTCGGTCTCAGACGCTGTGAAACAATCTACACGCCACTATAATAATCCTTTTCAAGTCCCATTTCTTTCAATATAAAGCTTTTATATATTTGAGACCTTCCACATATTTGCTTTATTTCATACACCATACTATTATATGTCTTATTCATATGAGACTTCAAGTCATAACTCTGCTATCATAATGCTTATGCATCATAGAGACCTCCTACATTAATACTTTGCTTCGTTAGACCTTACTATCATAAGTCCCTAATATAGGACTAGTCATTGTGCAACCTTACTACTAGCAGTCGGTCAGCCGACCACCCCATATATATGTACAACCTTGGGTATGTGTCTCCGGCAATGCCCCCATATAAAGGAACATTACAAAAAAACCTTCATCAACTTAGAAATTTTCCGATTATTACAAGAACACCTTCATCAACTTTTTAATTTTTTCTATTATATTACAAATGTTATTTATCTTTATTATTGCAATATAATCGACTTGTATTTATATGATTTAATACATTTTGAATATTTTAACCAGAATTTTAATAAATTTAGAGATTTTTAGAGACAATTTATGCCTTAACTATACTATAAAATTCAATATTCCAAATGAACACATTTGAACTTTATTATTTGCATTTTAATTGTTTAAAATATAATTTCTATGACATTTTTAAATGTCTTTATAACGAATTTAATTATTATTTATTAATAATAATTATGAAGCGTCACACTATGTACGTTCCACCGCTGGATGCAGGCCTCCTCCCATTCCAGAAAAAGATTTTAAGCTAAAGAAGTGTCTGGTTGTCGCCAATGAATGTCTAGATATAGATAATAAGATAGATGTAGATGTCTATAGGCCATCATCAGGACTGTGTGCTCGTTTGTCAGCCTTATTAAAAAAAAATATTTAAAAAAATTACAAAAATGTAGAATTCTGTTGGAAAAATATACTCTGTATGTATTAAATACAAGTGACACTTACGTATATTTTTATCTTCTTACTACACAACGTTATCAGGTAAATTCTTTTGTTTTGCTACCAAACCCACAATCACTTTTATCTATTATTAAATTAAATACCATCGTAAAACAGCAGCATTAAGCTGCTGAATTGAACTATTTTATTCGTACAACTGTGTTTTTTCATCTGTTTATGTTTTATTTTATAATTTAGTTATAATTTTTATCTGATGCCATTCAAGGGAGTCGTGAGTCAATCGGTGAGATTTGAAAAGGGCTATATCGATACTACTCTGCGTGAAAATTACAGCGCGCGATCCCCTGAGCTGCTTCATCATTAGAGCAGCGCGGTGAATACGCATTGAAATAGTTCTTTGCCCAAAAACCCTCTCAAAAATGAGAAGAGGCCTGAGCGCAAACCAGTGAGACGCATATAGGCATCCGACATATAAAATTAAGCTTACAGGCGCGAAATTCATGTCACACAAATGTTAAAAATTTAAGGAATTTAAAATTCCAGTCGCGTTATCGCGCAGCGTGCGAAATCTGCGGTTAACGCCTAGAAATAAAATGAAATGTGTTAATGTGCAAAAGATTGTTTTGTATATGAAATAGTCTATTTGAATTAAAATAATATTTAATAATTAAATAGCGTGCTGGTGTTGTAATTTAATTTATTATCCAAAATCGTCTCGTGGGTGTCATAAAAGGCGACTATAGCAAACGCTTGAAAAATTATAGTGCGGTATAACCAAATTAATTACACAAGGCGATACAGAACACCGTGTGTAGTTAATGATCGTGTTTTGTGGCATTTCTTAGGAGGCCTATGTTCAGCATTGGACTATTAATGGATTGTAACAATGATGATAATGATACTGTCGAAGGTTTGAGACATATATACAGGAAGTTTTTGAAACGCTCCCGAAAAGGAAGACAGACTATAGTACTAACGATACCTTTGATGATGGGTCCGAAAGAAAATTGATCCCGAAGAAAATCATCTTTTCACAACGTTTTATTCGCTTTATTCATGCTCCATTATGTTAGTACAGCTAAATGAAACGATAATTTCATGTAAAACAATAATGAAAATACTTAAATATAAAACGAGCAGTGTAATTTAAATCAGCTGACTAGGGTCAACATTCACGCGGACACTTCCTACCAGCTGGAAATTTCCCACCAATTTCAAGCAACAAGACTAACACTGAAATCTTACTACTTGTAATTTACTGTCTCAGATATCTACCAAACTCGAACAATAATGTATGAACTGCAACTTGTTGTCTGAAATAGTTGAGAAAGTGCTACTTACACAGATAACCCCGATAGAAAAGGAGTATCTAGTAATACAAATAACAACAAATAACTATTTAATTTTGTACATTTCTTTGATTTATATGAAAGATTTTCGCATGAATAATCATTTTTATTAATACGATTATTGTATGATTAGCAGCCTCAACTAGCAGCCCTAATTATTCTATGGATACAATATTTTTCTGCTACAGAATTATGTCAAAATTATTTTATCCTCTTTTGTTCTTGGAAGTCGACTTTTACTATTGGTAAAAAGTTGAATTTTATCAGCGCTATTCGGTCAAAATAATAGTTTTTAAAAAACGTTACCACCACACTAGGATTATCTCCTGTATCATGGAGGCAGTATACAAACATAAATTGCACGAGGACAAACATCCAGACCCAAAACAATTATTTGTAGGCCATACATGTGGCCATACTTGTTTCGTGCGGGATTCGAACCCGCGGCCCCCCAGCGCACCAACTCATTGCTAAGCCACTGCGCCACGGAGCCGTAAATGTATAAATAAGATAAATATAAAAATCTTACTTAAGTAATATGAGGAAACGATTAATTTTACAACACATTATCACCGAATAATGTAAGACAAAGTCACAATTCCGTATCTGCCTGTGTATTTACTTCAAATTTTTAAATTACGTAATGTATTTTGATATGATGCTCAACACTGCTTAAGAAAGGATTTCATAGTTATAATATATTATGCATATTTTATGTAGGCATAGTAAATGTCAAAGTTTAGGAATTAATTTGTAAAATGGAACTACATCGGATATATTAAATCGTATCCATGCAAATCTGTGACTGATTACTTGTTATTTTTAAAATTAGAACACAAAGAGAACTAATTCACATAGTTTAAAAATTATACTATTTAAATACTTAGTTTTTGGAGTCTTAAAAATCCTTATATTAACTATCCGAAAGTAATAAATAAATAAATAAATAGTCAGCTCCTAAAACTAAACAGTAGTCACTTCAACGAACGGGTCACTGTTCCATTCAATAACGTTGTAGTTACTCCATATGAAATTGCCCTTAATCGACAGAGGAGCCTCCAATGCCAAATACAAAATTGCCTTGGCACCTTCCTCGTACACTTTTGCCGTCTTTCTTCCTTCTCGACTAAACATGTTTCCTGGATTTACACAATTTATCATAACACCTTTTCCAGACCATTCTCTATGTTGCAGAAAGGTGACTGCATTCAAAGACACCTTGCTCACAGCATTTACACTCGATCCCCACCCTTCAGTTCTCTCTATCCCTTTCCTAGCTGCTTCTTCATACTCCTGCATTATTGCTACAAGCTCATCTTCCGTGAGATTTGGATCGCTTATTCTTCCTCTGATGACTTCGTTTTCAATAGTCGCTAAGAGTCCAGCTGGACCAGACACATTCACAACCCTTGCGTGTTCACTTAGTATTGGGTACACTAATTTTCCGAAATTGATGTAACCGTAAAAATTATAGCTTAACGTCTTCCTTACTTTCTCAGCGTGCGTTATTTTCTTCTCTGTTTGAACATACTCCGTGTTATTTATCAATAAATCGATTCTTTCATCCCGATCTTGTATATGATGTCTTAACCTTATGATATTCTTTGTATAAGTTATATCCATTTGAATGAATTCCACATTTGCTATGCGTTCAAAAGCCTCCTGTATATTGTAGCCAGTAGACGCATCTTCAGTAGTAAAGTAAATTTTTCCTTTATAAACAGCAGTAAGTTTTCTAAGTACTTGATAACCTAAATTGTTAGCTGCTCCAACGACTAAAGCAACGTTAGTCATAGTGGCTAAAATAATACTAGTATCAATGTAACTTTATCGCTGTTATCTGAGGCCATCACATCCCGAGTCGCGTTATCAGAAACCTGACAGCGATCGTAGGGTGCGAATGAGATAAATTTTAGTGCAAGATACGGTGAAAATATTTTGGATTATTTGAAACTTCTTGACTCAAATTCGAAGAACTCAGTTTTTTATTTATCTATTTAAACCTACTTTTAGAATTGCAGTTATTTTATTATATTAAGTATGTATATCAATATTGTACGTCAGTGTTTATGTATTAAAATAACTACGCCCAGACATATTTAATTATAGAATAAGGTTGACAAACGAGTGCACAGTCCATCTAATGTTAAGTGGATGCTGTGACCCATATACATCTATGTCTATCCTTGATTAAAAATCAAAATGCAGATGCATTGTCACCCTTGTATACTAAGATGGAATGTCTCGTTTCCAGTAAAAACGGTCTTTGGTTCTCTACACCCACCATACGAAACATAGCACAATTAAGCTGCTATTCTGTGAGAGCTGTGGTTCTACCCCTTTTAAGCCGACCCACTCATGTTACAAAGATAATATTGCAGCATGACTCTACCACGTTGAAAAGATTATTTTACAATAAATAAAAATTAGCTGTCTGATAACAGTAGTCTGGAAAGATTATGACTGGCACAGTTACTTGACACCACAAGGTCATTATTCTTAGGGTCATGAATAGGATTTTACGGCAATATATCAGAAAGTATATACAATTTGTACTAATGTGTATGATAATAAAAGTGGTAAAATTAAAAATTTTGTACAACTACAATTTAAATATAATTTATTGTTGATTTTTTTTAAAAACGCGACACGAATTTCGGTAAAATTTAAATTGGACCACCTGGAAAGTATACCTTTTGAAACAAAACAAGATTTTTCCAAATCGGTTCAGGCGTCTTTGAGTAATCTTTTCTTTTTTTCTTTCTTTTTTTTTAAAACGTTACCCCCACACTAGGATTTTCTCCTGTATCGTGGAGGCAGTTTACAAACACAAATTGCACGAGGACAAACATTCAGACCCAGAGCAATTATTTGTAGGCCATACAAATACTTGTTCCGTGCGGGATTCGAACCCGCGGCCCCAAGCGCAACAACTCATTGTTAAGACACTGCGCCACGGAGCCGTAATCGGTGAACATAAATAAAAAAGATTCCGACGAATTGTAAACCTCTCCTCCTTTGTGAAGTCGGTTGAAAATAAAGGAATTTATGGATGATAATTAACCCTAGAAATAAGGTGATTATTACCTAGCCATTTCTGAAATGATTTGTGCAGTTCATTGTGTAACATGATTGTAAATTATTCTTTTGTTTTAAATGTCATGCTGAGTTTTTTGTTCAGGACGGATGCGTTTTCTGAACCAGTGGTAAATTAAACATTCATCATCATCATCATTACAACCCTTCACAAGTCCACTGCTGAACATAGGCCTCTCCCAAGGAATGCCACAAAGCACGGTCCTTAGCCACCTGCATCCATCGGCTTCAACATTAGAATGTTTCTATAATAAAAAAATAAGTTCAATTTCTATTATAGAGAGTACCGGAGAACTAGAGGTTGAATTTTAACACGTTATCTGCACGACACTCAATATTAATAATAAACACAACGCGCTATTTGTTGCTAATGCTGGCCAGAACATCGTTACGAACAAAATTGTTGGTAGGTTTCCAATGATGAATGGGGAACAAAAAGTGATGAAAGGGTGATAATGATGTATACTGGTGAAGTATTTAATAGGGTACGTGAGGGTAAGAACGTGAGGGTAATATGGTCACCTTAAGCTTTGCCGCCTTATAAAATCAAAACTAGCGGGAGTACAGAGACAAAAATACAAAGTCATATTCAATAACTAATATATTATTAAGAAAAATAGCAAACAAGCTTTGGCAATAATTAGAAACACCACGAAAAATTAACTTAAACAAATTTACTACACTACACAATATTAAAATCGACTAAAATATTTACTATAAAGTCAACTGTCAAAATGGCGTCGATAAAGCAGCGACTTTTTGTCCTTTTATAATTTTTTTGACTGATGAAGAGCTATCGTATCACAGACCCATCTATTTTTTTATAGGAGAGGGGGCAACGAGCATGCGGCTCACCTGATGGTAAGTGACTCCCGCCGCCCATGAACAACTGCAACAACAGGGGAATCGCAGGTGTGTTGCCGGCCTTTTAAACAGGAGTAGGCTCTTTTCTTGAAGGTCCCTAAGTCTTAACGGTTCGGAAAAATTGCTGGTGGTTATAGATTCCATAAGGAAGTTGTGCGAGGAAGAAAACTTCTTCTAAATCGCACAGTGGTGGATTTGGTTGTAGTTTTTGAGTAATAAGAAAGTGACCATATTAATGGGAAATAAATATTACCCTCACGTACTAGTAGGACTCTATTTCTGCATACTGTAATCCAATCTGATGGGTATCTATTACGCGCTCCAAGAGGTCGAACATTGGCGAGCGCTCCAGCCGTGCGAAAGGGATACCGCCTTGGAGCACGCGCCAAATTGTTCGTTGGAGCGCTCGAACGTGGAGCGGGCCGCTCCATCTGGTGTCGGTTTTTTATCGCGCATCAAAGTAGTTTAAGGTTTGGCACGCGCGCCAGTTGGGACAACTGCTCGGACACGACCGACATCCATGATAAACTCTCAAACATTGGAGCGGCTGCCGCGCGCGCCAAGAGCGCTTAGTTGAAACACTTGGAACATTTGGAGCGCGTTCCGCGGAGCGCACTGGTCGAAGTGGTCATTCATGGCGCGCGCGCCAGGAGCGCGTAATCGATACGCGGCTTAAAAAGCAGTATATTTACAGGTAGTGAGTTATTTCATTTTAGTACTCAGAAGTTTTCTTTGTTTAAAGTTGGTCGTAGTCGGTCGTTTATTGTTTCAGTTATGAAAAAATTATTAAAAAAATTGAAATGTAATAGTGTATTGATTTTTTTCTGTCAAAAATTTAGAACATTGAACATGTATTTAATACAGATAACGAAAACCGTTCAATTCGTTCTGTTTGAATTCACTATCAAGCTATGATAATAATTTACGTAATCTGGATTTACAACGATTTCAATGACGTAAACAGAAAGTTATCAGACGTCGACAAAAACAAAATATCTGCGGTATAATGCAGGAATCTGATCTGTTTCTTATTTTATTATTTCTATGTCGTGATCACACATATTTTATAAACAACTTTAGGGTAGATAATGGAACTCTCGTTCATGAAGTTTCGAGAGTTTTTTTAATCGTATTTGTTGTCTTTGAGAACTTTGTTTAGCAGTTTTTTTGATTCATAATTCATTTAATAAGCAAAATATACATACATGTTACGTAATTGTATATTGTTCGATTAGTCTATTTTGAGTCTATCTATAATAAGCTATGAGAGGCCACTACAAAATATAGGCCTTCCTCATAGATTGCCTCATAGTGATGATTTTAGCATTATTATACGTGGTGGAGCCATGCTGCAGCTATTTTACACTGGTATTCTGTGAGGGCGTAGGTTTCCTCGATCAAGCTAATATAGCTGTAGCATGGCTCTACCACGTAAATAAATTGTTGTTGTTGTTATTATTATTGGATTATAAAACATAAGTAATTAATTAAATCGGGTAATTAGACTGTAATAATACGCTATAAAGGCTGAATAATGTTGTAAGTTAAAACAATGGAGGCTCAATCAACAGGACTTTGTTACGTGTAGGCTATCGTGACGGAAGTGACGTTCCGGCGGGTTTTTCCGGTTGGCAGTTGTAGCGTGACCGCGGTCCAGGGGTTTATTAAATCATGTTAGTTTATATTTAATGGTTGCGTTAGTGGAATGTTTCACAACATGTACTTTTGATTGTTGAGATACTAATTAAGATAAGTTTTTACGTACCGTTACCGTAACAGCCTATTAAAGTCCAATGCAGAACAGGGCTGCCCCATAGATTGCCTCATAGGGCGATATTTGCCATAGTTCCCACGCTTGGCAACCCCTCTTTTTTTTATTTTTAGTTGTCATTAAGAATACGCTGCTCTGATTTATTTCCCTATGTTGCCTCTTATGCCACCCACGATGGTATAGATGAAATGGGGAATTACACCGCCACTACACGGTAAGAAATATTTTTTTTAAATAAAATTTTGCGTTAGTATTGAATTACTAAATATTTCGAAGAAGTTTTCTTTCTTCTTTCATCTTCTTTCTGAAAGAAGATGTAGTATCAAAAATTGAGAAAGGTATGCTGAGATGGTTTGGCCATGTCGAGAGAATGAATGAAGAACAATTGACGAAAAAAGTGTATAAGGTGAGTGTGAATGAAAGTGTTGGAAGGAGTAGACCTAGGCGGATTTTTCTAGACCAAATCAGGGAGGATGAAAAAAGGCCAGGTCAAGAGTACCCTAAACCGAAGAGCATGTATGAAGGGAATAATGGAAGTGGTCAAAGCGAAACAAGTATGTAAGGATCGTAGCAAGTGGAAAGAAGTGGTCTCTGCCTACTCCTACGGGATAAAGGCGCGATTATATATATGTATGTATGTAAGTTTTCTCAACACATGACATGCGCAAGAGCCTGCTGGCTCAGAGCTGGTAGCTCAGGGGCTCAGTGTTCGTTGTAAACATCAAAGTACGCGAGCAACTGGATTAGATCCCCACCGGCAACCATAAAAAATCGTGAAATCACCATTTTAAGTGCTAATTGGCTACGTTTTTGTGGTGTAGAGGAAGCTTGTACCCAGCAGGGGGACGTATATAGGCTGTAACTTTACGTTTCACCAGAACAAGTTGTACAAAAAGGTGTTGTATTTGTATTGAAAATTGTGTTTTTGATCTGGGTGTTTGACCATGTATAACTTATGGATGGAAGACAAGATTCAATAGGTTTTTGTTAGACTAAGAATGTACGGTTTACCATTTAGGGCTTTATCATTTCTAGCCATCAGGGGAGATGAGGTTAAGCACAA